TTCACTATAAAGCCATGCTAAATTTGACTTTCTTAATAAATCCATCGCCCATAACAGTGCAGATTGCGCCTATCACATACGCATTCTATGATAAAAGGACTCACCCAAATTTTCCTCAAAACGTTTGCTAATACGGTCAGTCAGCCTTTGTAAGCAGGGGAGCCCCTACCTACGTTTGTGTAAAAGGAGCTTTCTGAATCATATCGATAGGCTTGCGCGATAAGTAAAGCTGAGATTGGAAAGACTTTGTTGAATGCGCTGTTAGAGCTTATTAACTGCGTAATGCAGATCATATTCATAACGTTTGAACGTATTATTTTCGTTTCAAAAATTTCGAAAAATTAAACGTCAAGATGATTAAAGCAGGTCTACTCCATATGTTGCAGGAGAATTTTCCTGCGCTGTAAAAGCAGTGTTTAGAAAGAAAATTGTACAAAAACCTAGAGAAGCCATCAACGATTTTCAAGTTACACAAGCAAATAGCAGCGTTTCATACTTCTCTTTGGGAAAAACATGACGATTTTGTGCTGCAAATAAAAGCTTTTAGAGATTTCTCTTCAAATCATTGAATTTAGCACACATGGGGAGATAAGGCAGGAGGTCACGCTATCAAAATCATAGGATGGGGTGTAGAGAATGGTGTGAAATACTGGCTCATTTCGAACTCCTGGAGCCCTGACTGGGGAGAAGACGGTAAATTTGTTTGGGCCTTTGCGAACTCTTACCGAAACATCATTTTCAATGAAACTAATTACTACTTTAGGCCTCTTCAAGATACGCCGAGGAACCAACGAATGCGAGATTGAAGGCATGGTTGGCGCAGTTATTATGGATGCTTAAACTGTCATTTAATGGACAATAAACTTTTTTCGCTTGTTAAAGGATTTTTACCGACAGAAAATTGCCTAATCAATATCCATACAATCACCAAAACTCCTGGTTCGGGCATTTACTTCATTACAATAAACAGGAGTAAATAGAAGCTAACAAAGGAACTTGAGATTAGCTGATTGATAGCGGCATTCATTTTCAAGCTAATTGAAAATGTAACACTGTTGACACATTAGCAACCGCTTGACACACATGATGCGTTAAGCAATGACTACCGCGTGGAACCTCTGGACGACATGTTTGTCAAGGCTCAAATTTAGGTAAAATGATGACTATTTTGGTCCAAACTCACTTTGAAAGTATTCCTTTACGCTGTTTCTGAAGAAAACTTCCATGTTTTTTAAAATACTGTAAATGGCAGTATACGGGATTCTTCAAAATTTTGACTGGCCCTGAAAGGTCTTGGTCCCAAAAAGCATTCAGCCAAAAATCCTCGTTGCCAGGAAGGCTTTTCTTTATAAATTATGAATCGCCAGTCCATGTCTTATACCTTGTTATAAGAATACTAAGTCAACTTAAATCATCTATAACCTTTTCAAAGCTTCACAATGATTAGTTTATTAGTCAGCTTCACAAGTTTCAAAACGGATTGCAGTGGTTTTCGCAAATCACTATTATCTTGTAATAATGCTGAGGCAGGCGCTAAACTCCTCAAGGACTATAGCACAGCGACGGCCATCGCCGGTCGCGATGACTGGATATTGCCAGCTAAAGTTGGCTAATGTATTAGATAACCTTTGATTCAACTGACTTGGCGGCTGGAAGGCGGGGCTTTGTGACCTAATGAAGGCCGCTCGCGCCCTCTACGCAACATGCGTTTCTCTCGAGGGCGTGCTCTCTGACTATTGTTTGGCCGTTATTAGGACACAAAGCCCCGCCTTCCAGCCGCCACGCCAATTGAATCAAAGGGTAATATCTGATTCGAAACGAAGGCGGTCACCCAAATAAGCTGAGCGCATACGAGAGTGGCGCGCAAACGGCGCGCGCGTAAGTGTTATGCATGGAGCGCATTACGCAATAGCTAACCGATGGCCTTGGGGTCCAAACACTGATTTTCTTGTATTCTAGGCCGTATTTACATTCGGACTCTTCCAACGCTTTCGTTCGGAGTTAAGCTACTATTCACAGACTTTAACACTCTACATGTCTTGTCAACATTTTTGTATGCATTACTACAATCATCGTACACTAATGTATAAAAACTCTTGTGTTAGTGCGTACATCGTTACCCCTTCTTGTGTCCTTTCTTTTCATCCTTCAATTCTTCTCATGCAATTAATCCTCTGATTAAAGATAAAATGCATTTCTTGTACCGCACAGTATTTTTAATGATGACACACTTTACTTTTTTCTTATTTTTCTAACAGTGTATCTCCAAAAACTTCTCTGCTCCCTAAGTCTGAGGTCTGGCTGCTTTCTTTAATTTGTGTTTTCCCGAAATTCTTGTCTTTCCTTCTTTGCGGCGCACCTTGAGTGTACTTATAAATACATAAAATAAATAAATTTGCCTTAGTTCTGGCAATATGCCGTCGTTGAAGGCTTAAAAATAGTCACTTTAGTCTACATTCTCTCTTACAAACACCGTCTCCCACTTGCGTATTCGATTCGTCCTTTGTGGAAGTAGAGAGCTTGAAAGAAGAGGTTCACTCACTTGTGTGTCATCAATGCAGCAGTGTTACTGCTAAGAAAATGCTCGTTTGACTGCGAGTCGAAAATGAGCAGCGTACATATTTCCTTACTTAGATACTTAGATGGCCCGTCCTCATGTGACGTGCGGGTCCCAGTATAGAAATTGTCATTGATCCCCTCCCTCGTTCAGAACATCCACGATCTTCTTGGTCGTCGTCGGTGGCTGCGTCCACGAGTTCCAGGGGCGAAAGTCGTAACCAACGATCTCTCAGCTGGTCGATCCGTTTCAACACGTCTGCCCATCCCCTCGGTGGTCTTCCTCGAGGACGTTTGGCTTCGCGAGATCCACTCAAATGCTCTTAGTGTCCATCCGTCGTCTGTTTCTCTCATGCTGTGACCGGCCCATCGGTGTTTGGCTTTCGCAACGTATTCCGCTGGGTCAGAAGACGGGACATTCTTCTCATATCCGTACCGCGAAGTCCGACTAGATATTGCTTGCGTCGTGTCATCTTCAGAAGACTGCGCTCGAGTGCTCTGTGGGTGGTCCGTAAAGCTTTCGACGTGACTACAGTGTCGGCCCAAGTCTCAGCTGCGTAGCAGAGCGCCGGAAAAACGGTTGAGTCGAACAGGTGGGCAGGAAGCTCCGGGTCCGCCAGTTGGTCGGTGGCTTCCTTCAAAGGCCCGAAGACGGCCCAAGCTGCTCTTCTTCTCCTGTTGAATTCTTCCCTCACGTCGTTCTCCATGTTCAGCGAACGTCCGAGATACACGTAAAAAGACGTCTCCATAATAAGGGTGCCTTCCAATTCCATTTCTGCATCCGCAAAGGGTGTTTTTCATAAAGTGAGCCTTCTTCGATTTTTTTGCAATCCGATCTTTCTCCCTACTTCGTTCAGTTCCTTCAGCATCGTCTCTGCTTCGGTGATACTGCTAGAAAAGGGAACGATGTCGTTTTCAAAGCGGTAGGAGTCTCCCATCAACTCGTATGCCTCTCTCGTCCCAGTCTAGTGACTTCATCATCCACTGCACGGCCGCGGTGAACAGCTTTGGCGAGATTGTGTCCGTGTCGGACCCCCTTTCCGGTTAGTATGGTCAGGAAGCGATGGAATAGCTGCATCGTCGTTGTACAGTAGTTGTAGCAGTCGGCTAACGTCGTCACGTAAGCTGGGCCACTCATTGATCGACTTGCGCAGAAAGAATGGCGTTAGTTTCGATGCTGTCAAAGGCTTTCTCGTAGCCGACAAAGGTCAGGACGAGAGGCACTCGGTACTCGCAGCAGACTTCTATGACCCTCGAGACCGTCTGGATGTGGTCTTTGCGGCTGAGTCCTTTGCGAAATCCAGCTTGTTCTTGGGGTTGGATTCCATTTATTGTCCTGGATGTGTAAGCGAGGATAATCTTCGTTAAGAGCTTGTATAGCACACTCAGCAAGCATATTGGACGATAGTTTCGAAGATCCTCCCGTTCGCCCTTCTTGAAAAGGAGGATGGTTCTTGACGTTCTCCACTAGTCGGGAATCCTCTCCTTCTGAGGGTGAGATGTCAGGTGCGACGCGAGAATCTCGTGTAGACGTTGTCCTTCGGCTCGCGGAAATTCGACGGAAAGATGGTCTGGTCCTAGAGCCGTAGAAGTCTTCACGGTCTGAGTCGCCGTGCGCATTTCAGCAGGTAGAATTCGTGGTGTACTTCTCCAGTGGGAACAACGGGCATCGGCACGGGTGTTGATGAGCGGAAGAGGTTGGTGTAGAAGTTCTTCGCGATAGATTCGATCTTGTATCGGGAAGAAATCAGAGTCCCGTCTTCGTTTAATAGTGCAGCCAGCGATACGTGATATTCACAAAAGTCCCTTGCAAAGGGCAAGGGCACTTCTTGAGACTTCGTCTTCCTTTGGCTGCTTCCAGTATCTTGGCTTGGCTGTACTTCCTGAGATCCTCCTGCACAGCTGCTCTGCAACTGGCGTTGGCTATCAGTCGCTCGAGGTGGGTTGCATTCGGATAGTGCCTCAAAAATCTTCTTCTTTCGAGCAACTCCTTGGTGGTCTTCAAAAATGCGTTCCAACTCCTCCTCGGAAGTCACTGAGGCACACTCTCCGCAGGGTCGCAATCCTTTCAAAAGCCGGTCGTAGTCGTACGTTGGTTCCTCCTCGATGGGCCAGTCACAACTTGATATGAGCCCTTCCAGCCTGTTACTGTCATAAACGACTCCTTCCTTCTCGCGGCACTGTGACATTATTTCTCTTCCAGCCTTCGATAGAACCGTATATTCGCTCGAAGGAGGCGTTGATCGGAGCCACTGCAGAAAGATGGAAGTACTGAGACTCAAGCAAGCTCCACCTTCGGTGGTGAGGATGTGATCGATCTCCGCGTGAGTCGTTCCGTTGGGCGATTCCCAAGTCCATCGAGGATGGTACTTTCAAAATAGGAATGATTATCAAGTTTATCATGTGCCTATAAATAGCGAGAATCGGTAGAGTTCCATTATTGTGTTCAACTGCAACCGTTCCCTCTCAACGCTGCAATTTTTCGAAAGAAGATGCCAAGAGGACGACACAAGAGGAGGTCCAAATCGAAGCATAAGAAGCGCAAGAGCCGAAAAAGCAAGCACTCCGGATGGAGATCTCCGCTGAGATCACGTTCCAGATCGAGGTCGTTAAAGAAGGGCAGAAAGAAGCGATCAAGGCATGACGGGAGGAGCAGACAGAGAAAGGCGAGTATGTCTTATGTGGAAACTGATTGGTAGCTTCAAAGTATGCCACTGCCCAAATTGCAGCTTATAAGATTCATTCGTGGCGGAGAAATTTCCCTCCAAAGCCCAGACCGTGCTTCCTACCGTAATCTAGGACGGTGATTGGCTCACAGAGAAAATTACGCGCTTTGGGCGGGAGTTAAGGATTGAGACTCTCACACAAGCCGCGCTCGGAGGATAAGTTCCTAGCAAAATTGTGGTATTTTCCAAGCGTACTTGTGTCATACTGTGCAACTGCACAGTCGAAATCTGCTCAATTGTTAGAAATCCTCAATCTGCGTAAAATGGGCTATTCAGAACTTTGAAATGATACTATATCCAAAACATAATTTTTAGCGCAGCAAGAGCAGAAGCAGAAGTAAAAGTAGAAGTAGAAGCAAAAGTAGAGGCAAAAAAGGAAAGAGAAGATCGAAACGAAGACATGAACACAAACACGGACATGGACCCGAAATGACAACTGCAGCGATGAATGAGGTAAGGGTTTATTGGGTAACTAAACAGCAAGCTTATTTCTTACCAGTGCGTCACCTCTGCTTCGCAGAGGCTCGCACTGGTCCTACTATCCGTATGCATTACCCATTCCCGCACACTAATGACATTGAAACTCACCGCGCTGTGCGGACTATCACGAATGAATTGTAAACAGCTAATCATTCCAAAAGCTTTTCCACATGAGATCGGTAATTTCGCGTGAATCAAACTCTCCCCAAAAGAACAAATGCAAATTTTAATCGGTTTTTGGATTTTTCATGGCTTTGTATTTATCATAAGATACAATAATCATCATGGGCTACATCTCTGTGCAAAAATCTTCTCAAATGATCGGATGAAATCTTGGCAAATTGTACATTTACACAATCAATCATTTTTGGCGCCGTTTTCTCAAAGTAATAAAGTTTGGTTCAATTTTTTAGGCTAAAGTTCATGCTTTGCACATTAGCTTGTTAAACATACCCATCACTTTGCAAAAGTTGTGCCACAGGCTCAATTTTACTGGTTGAAAGCCAAGTGGATCCGATTGACGAGCATTTTTTGAGGGATCCACGCAACGGATCCGCTCATGCTTTTGTATATTGGACTTTTATGTTGGTAGTATGCGCTGTGCAAAATTTGGGCTCAGGAGGTTGGCTGGAACTCGCTCTACGAATTTCGTGACAGACAGAGATTCAGACACACACACAAACGTAAACAACCCTTAGCCCGTTATTATAAGTTATGATCTTAACATTAGGCTTATGAGTATCTGAACCTGTAGGCGTAACTCAATAAATCTTCTCGAAACGGACTTTGGCAGAGCGCCCGGCGTTTATACTTCGCCGCGCGCGCAGATGAAGTATATATGTTTTGGCACTTTACATATCAGAACGCGAAAACTTGTATATATACTTTCTATACGTGCACAGAAATTCTTTGAACACTTGGCAAACTGACAAATCGCGCTATGGCAGAAACTTTAGCACAAGTGAAGTTCAGTATTTATTGCAGAACCTTGGTAATATCGTCCTGGTAAAAAACCGCCATAAGAGCAAAAGCCCGGCAAATGAAGGCGCGCCACTTATGATAGATCCTGCAGCAGCGCGTGAGTCAAACTAGCTTGATCTTCACAACAGTTAAAGTCTCTTATCTTCAGCCTTGGGCCAAGGTCAAGCACCACCTATGGTAAGTTCACTTTGGTTCAGGAAGAACGCGAAACTTTGAAAAGTGCCGGCAAATTTACAGCCAACTCCAACGACGACAGGCACGGAGACAACCACGCCCAGTTCACTGCCGCCGGCCGTACCGCCAGGACAACAACCGCCTTCAGGCGAGCCTTCGCCGGACCTGCCCTATGTGCCTTTATCACAAGTTACTGTAACCCCACTGCCTCAAACCACTACCACTACTCCTACTACCCCAGCCACCACCGCTACCACGACTCCCGCCACGACCACTGATACCACTGGCGCCACCGGTGCGACCACGGCAACCACGACGCCTGCTCCCACCACTGCCGCTACCTCAACCTCGACTACACCGGGCCCTGCAGTAATTTCGTCGACAACCTCAGCCCGTCCCGAAAAGGACGAACTGACGAGAAAGGAAGCATCAATAGGTGATCGCTGTTATGAAACGACATTGTGTAATATGTAGTGTGTTTAGAAAAGCCACCTCACGATCGTGTACAAAAGTGGAAGACATATATAGAGAAAACCCTGGAGGGTGGAGTAGAAGCGATGGCGGTAAGTACTTTTATAATAAAAATTTTGAGCAGATTTGCAGGGGGTAGAACTAGAGAGTTTGCTATAACCAAAAATTAAAGTGAGATCTACGTACTCGCAGATCTTCGTGGTAATGTCCAGGGAACCCTGCATCAATGAATTCTTATGTGAATTCTCATTCAAAGGTACCAACTACCCTAATTTCACGCGTATAAGGCGCGGAGGAATTTTTTTCAAAATCGATCAGCCCAGACACGCCAAAGGACTTTACAACCAAAAGACCGTATAACGTGCTGTATATTGCTTGAAAGAATTGTGCGATGTGAGGATTTCTTTTCGGAATACAGTAAAGCGGCTGTGCGGCTCGCTTGAAAATTCGAAAAAGTGCGCCTTATACGCGTGAAATTAGGGTAATCCATTGCCCAAATGGCAACTCGTATGATTCATCCATTGCCAAGAAATTCTACCCTCAAACCTCGCCCAGACCGTAATCGAGCATCCTGTGCGCTCGGAAAGAGTACGGTACCTGGCAAAGGCTTGGTTTTCGCAAATTAGTTATATAAATTAACATGCTATGACTCAATCAAGGCCTCTCAGTTTGTTTAACGAAGCCAAAGAAAACGACAGCACCGCCTTTCATTTAAGCTCTGAAAATTCGCACTATTAGGCCACAATTGCAGGCAGAATTTCGTTTGATTCGCGGTCACATTCCTCCTATGTCTACACGTTTTGGATTCGATGCAAATATGGACAAGAACAGATTCGAAGGTTAGTTAGGACTGAAATGTAATAAGGAAAGTCGGGTGCCAATTTTTTCAGATGTTGTTTGCATAGATCAGACACGTGTTCGACCGAGTGGTGGTAATTATATTCATGCAAGTTGGGTGGGCATCACTGCTAGCAGGAAAGTAAGTCTTTGCCCTATAGCGAGTATTGGAAAAAGAGTATAAGAGAGTAAGAAAAATCTTGCAATGATTTTTGGAGGGGGGGGGGGGCAGATACCCAGCCGGTTTTACCCTCACAGTTTCTCTGGCAACCGTCTTCTGGGAGAGAGGGGCTGTGGTCTAAGAACGGGATCGAACTCTGGTCATTCCTCTTATGAGGGCGCCTCATGCCATTGCGGCATTACCCCCCCTCCCTCTCCCAGCAACCTGCAGGTAGACAGAAGTTGTTAGATTGGATGTATACGGCATAACGAGCACTACTCTACTAAGCAAGGGTTCTAAAAAACAGGGGGAGGGGAGGTCAGACAATGTCGCATCCCATGAATGCCAAAAATTTTTGTTTTGAAGTTTTTACCGTTGTTCTAAATAAACATTATCGCATAGCTAAATTTCAGAAGTTCACTAGCGGTGACGTCTTTTTTGATTTTGATATCGATTTTTTCAGGATATTCTTACCCAACTCCCACGTTCAGAAACCAGTGGTGACTTCTGGCAGATGGTTCTTGACGCTGAAGTTCAAGCCATTTTATTGATTCTTACTCATGCCGAATTCACCATGTTCCATGCTAATCAAGTCTTCCCTGATGAACAGTCAGTCGCTTGGTAATCAGCAGGACAGAGTTGAGCTATTAATTTTAGAGATTTCCTTTGCCTGAATGATAAACAAATTCGCGTTGGGGAGTTCAAAAGGGTAGTTATCGATAAGGAATGGACAATGCATGTGATTTCTGTAAGGAGCGGAGACAAGCGAAGGTACGTTATAACGCATGAGGGCCCTTTTGCGACGCATAACGAGGGCCCTTTTGTCGCGACTCATAGGCATAATCGCGCAGCATCCGTGCAGGCTTAGTCATAAAAAAGACATCAACTATCATCACCCAAATTCAGCCCAGTGATTTATCTGGGACCGGGAAAGACAGGTTGAAACTCTCGCCCAGTACACTTTGCGAATACGGTGCTGGGCAAGAGTTCAGACTTGATTTTCTCAGCGACGAATGAAAAGGAGCTGACAATTGAGCAATTGGCTTAGCTCCAATTGAGTGCCAGCAACTGACGTTATGTGCGTAATGACTTCAGATTCGTACATATGCATCATTATTCTGGTTGGACACATGGCAAACAACCCGCACGGATTCTCGACCTCTGGCAGATTCAGTCTGTTTTTAGGTAGGTTTTCTGATTTCGTTCAACGTAATCTCTTCTAATCAAACCCAACTTTTTTTAGAAAATACTCCCATCCTCAAGTCTATATGAGTCTGTCTGGTTGTGGACGTGCTGGTACGTACGCTGCATTCGAGGTCAGTGTGCTAATGGTTACGTTTGCTGATTGTGTGTCATTATACCAGAGAGGCAAAACCCGTTTGTTCCAGATAGCGCACGAACGTTTACATTCGGAAAACTTCCAAAAACTAAACGTTAGCGATTGCATTTGTCGTGCACGCAACGGACGAATGCACTCCGTACAACGACCGATACAACTGCAAACGATACACGCGGCCATCATGGAACATATGATGAACAATGTAATCATTTGCTTGCGTAGTGGCTATCCATTCCACAATTCGTGCTACCTTTCCTCTGCGTCTCTGACCTGCGGCACGCATGCCTAACTTGTTGGCAACATGCGTGCCGCGTCAGAGACGCAGAGCAAGGGTACCACGAATGGTGGGCGGCTGGGAGACTGGGCAACTTGTTTGAGCATTCAAATTACCACATATTAAATGCGAAGTTTTCAGAAATTCGCTGCGCTCCTAGCTCCAACAACTGTGCAAAAATACGAAGAATTTAGTACACGATTCAACAAATGTGCTGAACAGCAACAAGATATGACATGATGCCAGTTTGTAATAGACAACAGCGTTCCTTGTGTCGAGTCCATCACATCCATGTTATCCCCAATTTTTGTTTTGATGTAGCACGAGGGAAGCATAAATGAAGTGATTGGATGTTTTTTTTATTGTATTCGCAATATTAGCTTAATCATTAGTCAACCACTGGTGATTCTACCGGTATATTTTGTGGGGATAAAGATGCCTCAAGAAACTTGCACGTATTGGGCAGTTCTGGTGTTTGTGTCAACCACGTGCTCATTTATCCGTAGCAACAACGCATCCGCAACGCGTAAGCATTGCGCGGCGGTCTCCGATTGATGCAGCAGATATGAAAGCTCAAAGCATAGGGCGCGCACGCGGTAAGGACTTCTAGTGTTGCGCTTGAGCTGATTGGAAAGGGAGCACGCTGACACAGACTATAAACGTTTTTGCAAGACCGTAATTTTCAAGATATTTCCACTTGACCGCATGCACGTCCGCGAAATGAGACTAAGCCAGGTGCAAGTATGAACTTACCCTTATCATCAATCTGTAAAAGTTTTTAACTCATGAACCATATAAAAATCGCGAAAAGAGGCAGAAATATTTATATGGTACCTCCAAGTGAAAAACAGCAAACGCGTAAATGTACAATCAGTTCCTGTTGAACAGCCCCAAAGTTGCGCTCTTCTTCTTAATTTTGTCAGTAGGCGAACTTTTACCGGAGTTTTCATTGGTCATGGAGAGTGAAGTCTTTGAATCACCAATACTGCCTCGACGAAGATCGTCGATCTAAAACGATGAAAAAATCAGTTTACAGGATAATAGCGAATTGCTGCAAACCTCCTGCTTCAGCCTTTCCAATTCAGCTTTCCGCAAATCAATCTCTTGTTTCAAATCGCGTTCACGAATGTCGAGCTAAAAACATTTCCTATTTCCTATTTTTTACAGATCCAACCTAGGAGATTAGAAGTTTTGAAGCTGCTCACCCTAGCCATTCTCTCATTAATCTTTATTTCTCTGTCGTTCACGCGCTCAGCGAATGTCTAAAAAAACAGATTGAGATTTTTGAAGAGGGTTTATGCAAAAAGGACCTTCTCAAAACTTCTCTTCTTCTCCGCCAACTCATTTTCTTTCTTCCTGCGATCTTCTTCCATTTGTGTAAAGGGGTCTCTAGAGAAAAACACTTAATCTGGGACAAAAATGCTTCCCAAGTAAACATACTTGTCCAGTGCATGTTTCGGTAGCTTGTCCATTTGACGAAGTCGGAAATTTTCATAGTGGACGGATCTGGTCACTTCAATCATATCGATCAAGTTTGTTCGAACAACCATGTCACGTAAGGGGATAAAATCGTTGTGCAACATGTTTTCTACTTCAACCACTCCCCACGGATACTCTCTGTGAAAAAAGAACTAAAAAATTGAAGGTTTAAAATTGGCTGAGCTTTGCTTACCTATACCTGATCTTCTTACCGCCTTCATCTTTCAACAAATTACTTCCAACTACGGCAAAAGGTAAACAACTTTTGAGCTTCTCACTCGTTGCCTAAAACTTATGAACATTTGTTAGTAATCGAAATTAAAAACGGAGTTTATTTGGCTGGAAAAATTGTCTGGAAAAATCACTCTACGTCAAGAATGATGAACTGCATTAGTCTGAGAATATTTCATAAATGCTACACAAAAATATTCGTACATTTGCAGGGAACGTTGTTTTCGGGCAAGTCTTCGATGCTGCATGCGTAGTAGACTATAAATTGGAGTATTTTGATACGCAAAAAATGCAAATACAAATGCAATGGTCAAAACAAAATCTGGCACATGTCAAGTTGAGAAAAATTTCGTTTACTGTGAAGTACAAACGTTATGGTCAGATAAACTCTGGCAATAGTTGCCGTGCACGACATGAAATGGGACACCGGGTATGGTAATTCGAGATAATGAAACCACTAAGGTTGACGTGTATAGCAGCTCATTCCGTAAAATCGAATCATACTAAATCATGCAAATATGTCGTAAATATAAAAATATGGAACACGACGCGCTATAAAACTAGGAAATAATTCCCAGTGACCTCAAATTATCTGCACATGGATCACAAATCCATTCGTACCTTATCTTTTTCATCTTCGATTTCCGGGAACTTGTACAATTTGATATCATTTGCGGCAATGTCCTTATTTATCTGGAAGTAAATCTTAGATTGATTGTAAGAAAAACATTAGTATTCGAACGAAACTGAATGATTGAAATTATGCTAGGTGCAGACAAGACTTTAACAAAATATTTGGTCTATCGAAAACCAAAAAAACTTCCGTCCTTTACAAAACTACACGATGAGTAGGGCACATAAGCCATTCATGAAGTTGTTTGGAAGGAAGCCAACCTGCGCTTTGAATTTCTTCATTTCATCTTTAGTCAGACAGTCGGCTTTGGCAATTACGGGAACAATGTTGACGCGCGTGTGCAGCTGTTTCATAAACTCGATGTCGAGAGGTTTCAGCCTAAACAAAAGAACATCGTAAGAGCACAAACATGATCGTAGACAAGAAACCTACCCATGGCCACTTGGTTCGATAAAGTAAAGACAGAGATGAACACATCTATCCACAGGTCGTTCTTTTCTCTCAATTTTTGTTTCTTCGGAGAAATATTCCAAGAATTTTCCATCAACATAATTTATGATCGGTTCCCAACTACAATTCACGAAAAACAGAGAATAACATGACTCTCGTAATAAACGAGACATTGAACCTACCATCGCGTATTATTGACAGCATCACCAAAGCCGGGTGTGTCAACCAAGGTCAAGTTAAGTTTTACCGTGTTTTCTACAAGTTTTACCTAAAAATTACATGATTTTTTCGCTCAATGAGTTTTTGTTTTGAACTCTTTGATAGGGAAGAAAAAGTGCTATCAGCACTTATTATACTCACATGTTTCTCTTCAATTCTTACGGTAGTTCCCGCTGGCGCAGGAGCCTCTTTCAAATCATGAATTTCAGCCATAAATAAAGTGTTTATAAAAGTAGATTTTCCCAGTCCACTGCGACCTTAAATAAATTCATGTCGACTCACTACCAAAAGTGAAGAAAAAACACGAAAGATTATCTCTTCAGAAATCCTTACCGACTACCATAAGAGTAAAATTGAATCCATCCTTGATTGCTCTGCGAAATACTTGATTAGGAAAGTTAGCGAATCCCCAGTAATTTTGGGCTTCAGCAATACCGGTGCGTGATTCATCGAGTTTAACCCGACTCATGTCTAGAAGAAAATTCTGACGCTACGGGATAAAGATCTTATCCTGATAGAGGATGACGGTGGAAGCTTTCAAAACCAAGAAAACTTAGGTCGCAATGGAGTGAAGTTGAAAGTGAAATCATATCTATAGAACAACTAAGGAAGTCACGAAAAAAAAAAGGATTTACGCTTATCGTAACAACTCCGATTAATAGAAACGATGTAAATTCAATGAAAAAAAAAGACAGAGAGACAGGTAAACGCGAGAATTTTGAAGTTATTGAACTCAACTAGTCAAAAAGCTGAGATTGGATTCATTGCCCGAAATGAGAGAAAAGCGACATCGCGCGGATCAAAAAAGCTTAATGATAGCCATAAACAGCAGGGATTAGTCGGCTCAGCCGAGATTACACGGCTTGCATCAAACACTCAAGAGAAAACACAAAATATTCAAAAGCGAAGAAAACTCAAAAGTCCAAGCAATCTTAAGCGAAGCATGACGTACAACAAGCATTACCATGTTTATGATGTGGAACATCATTCCACGTATGAATCCCATGCATGAAGCATGTGACCCTGTAAGAAAAGGCGAGAGGTATGAGAGAAGGAGTTGACAATTCTATTCAGATGCGAGAACATTTCTTAAGTGATCGTTACAATCTTCTTGTACAGCTGTAAAACCAGATGGTAGTATCGAAACGTTGGCAATAAAAGTGCGCTAGAACAGATGTAGCGTAAACTCGCAAGAGAAAGAAACTGTCCCAAACGAACTGCAAAGATTCCAAGCGGAAATTATTTGGTGCTTTTTTCAGTTTCGCTTGAGCAAAAGCAGCTTTTCAAAAGAGCACTCTAATGATGACCGACGTTTCAGCTAAATGCTGCCTTCAAAGGCCCGAAAATGAGTCATTCACTTACTAATTGATATTATTTAGATCGTTTGATTGATAAGTAATTGACTCATATTCAGACGGCATTTCACCGAAGAGTCGGGCATAAATGAAGTGTTCCTTTGGAAAGAAAACTTGTTACAGCTCATCAAAGAATATCTAGTAAGCATGGAAATATTCTACAAAAAGGAAGAACAAAAAAAGAAAGAAAAAATGGTTTTATTTCGACTTGACAGTCAAGGTTAGGGTAGAAGAAAAACACAATCCAGTAGCTTCTGACCAGATTTTTTTCTTGCATTTTCATACTGTAAGACAAGAGTTTGCCGCCTGAAGAACATCATTTTCTTACCCGATGCGACGTAAGATATCTGGTGACATGGCGACGGCGAGTGACACTCGCGCTGTCTCCATAAATATTTTTTAAGGTGGCAGAGTGAGTAAGACCTCTTTTTGTGAAAGAGAGTAATGAATAGCATTGAACTGAGGAAAACCTTGGTAGTATAGCAGATCGATAGTACGACAAGTCGCGCAGCTGCCAACGGGGTCTGACATCTGCGCGTGAAGATTGAGGGCGTTGCAGAGCGCAATCGACCAACGCCATTTACATAATGGTGTTGGTTGTCAGCAAAAAATTGGTAAGAAGATCTGACGGGAACGGTGCTTATCCTCCCAAAGGATGCTGTTACACTATAGAACAGCTTCGTAACCGAAAAGAGCTATGCGAGAGTACAAAAAGGAGGGAGAGCAAGTAAACTTTTGAGCAAGGGGTGGCAAGAAGATCTGGGCAAGAGCTGGCAACGGACGTAATGTTTACTGCCCCTAATCTACCTTACAGGTTAGTTGTCTTCCAAGAAATAAAAAAAGAAACTGAGGTAAAGAGAATTCGAATATGACTATGTTAGAGTCTTCCTTACCCGTAACTAGTTGCATCCTTCGTTTAACCAACGAAAACTGGAAGAACCAGATAATGACTCCATGAAGGCATAACCCATGCTGGAAGCGTGAGCCGAGCCAAAATAAGATTAATGTGCTCGGGCCCAGCGACAATCTGCGACGCTCCGTGCGGAAATTTAGATATTCGCCGAATACTAATGATCCTGGCTATAGTCAAGAGCGCATGCTGCCAGAGCAACAGGCAAGTGTGCACTATGTCGTAGTACGACTGGAATGGGCTCTCAAGCTTTTCATCTTTTGCATTGGACTCAGTTCTCACTTTTGGGACGCTTAATGGTTCTTTGGAACAAATGAATGGCGAGCAAAAATGTCCAAGAGAAAATTGAACTTAGAGAGTCGTCCCTGAGTACATTCTCACAACCGCAAAATCAGAGCCAAACAATAAGACCTCTATCGCTGGAGCCCTTCCATGAAAGCGGGGAAATTTATCCGCGTTTCGCATTTTTCGTTTTTTTTTTCACGACAGGTGCAGAAAACTTTTACCAGTCGCGAAAGACGGAATATTTGTGAAAAAGGCTACTTTTCTCAGCTCGAACTGATACTCTCATTTCCTTCCCTAAAAATCCCCTTGCTGCATATCTAAGCACTATTTCAACAGAAACATGAAGCTGATAAGGCTTCTGGAGATCCACCAAATGTTCCAGTTCCACAAAATGTTTGGCTACTTGAGGTAAAGATGACATAGGCTTTTTGAAACTGATAAGAGTAGCAATAAGGAAGAAACATTGAAATGAATAGCCAAAACTGAATAGCAGAATGAGGCAATAAATTCGGGCTAGACGTAAAAAACTTGTGACCGTTCAAAACAAAGATCGACAAGGCCAAGCATCAGCAAGATACATTTGCAGCTGTGGTTGAACATTAACAAGACAACTTAGGCTTTGGCCATAATTGCCCGTGTTGCCGGTGTTGAAAGTGTTGAAAGTGTTGCCAGTGTTGAAAGTGTTGAAAGTGTTGCCGGTGTTGAAAGTGTTGAAAGTGTTGCCAGTGTTGAAAGTGTTGAAAGTGTTGCCGGTGTTGAAAGTGTTGAACGGAGGTCATCAGTCTAGCAGTTTCATTCTTTCTCGAACGATCTCAACGGCTGGTGAATACGTTGGAAATGGAATTGGGGAATGAGAAATGAAACTGAAATGAGATGGGGAATGTTTTCGCATGCAGAAGATCCTCAAACAAACTTTTTGAAAAGTGGACGGCTTGTCTGGAATAGGCAATCTCCAATATTTGAAAAAGCTGAAGTCTGAGTAGTAATGTGTGTTTTAGTTCGAATCCTGCCGCGCTTGCGATTAGTGAGTAAAGGACCTAAGTGAGGTTTGCAGCGTTTTCCTATTCCAGACAAGCCGTCCACTTTTCAAAAAGTTTGTTTGAGGATCTTTTGCATGCGAAAACATTTCCCATCTCATTTCAGTTTCATTTCTCATTCCCCAATTCCATTTCCAACGTATTCACCAGCCGGTGAGATCGGAGAAAGAATGAAACTGCTAGACTGATGATCTCCGTTCAACACTTTCAACACCGGCAACACTTTCAACACTTTCAACACTGGCAACACTTTCAACACTTTCAACACTTTCAACACCGGCAACACGGGCGAAGTATGGCCAAAGCCTTAGAGACAGTATACAACACGAGTATTCCTTGATAGCTCTGAGATGGTGAAAAAAGGACTATGGATTAATGGGTGGATATTCGGCCTTATTTATTGAGAGCTTGCTATAGTTTAGATCAAGAGCAATGAGATAGGTATGCATTTGCGACGCCAACAATACTTGCGCGTAAAAACCGGCTACGAACTCACGGAATACCAGAGAGTGCACCGCATGTACTCCATGTACTCCAATATTATACTGTATCCAAAACCTATCAATCTCCCCGCACTATACTGCAGCTAAGGAGCTCTGACTTCATAGTTTGGCTTGCTTGAAGTTCTTTGGAAAATACAGGAGATCAAAGTCAATCACATCGCACTCTTGGTGCTGCCCATCTCTATTTAATCTCTCCATAGATCAAGTATAGCTATATCATAAACGAAACAACTCCGTACATATGAGACGGAAGAAGAAAGCAGGAAAATGAACTGGATTGTGAAATTTGAACAAAAAATCTCGCGCTTATCACAACGTCGTGGCGAGACCATCGCGTAATTTGCATTCTTGTCCTTCACGCAGCTTCATCCACTTTGTTCAAGGTTAAAATCGCATTTGCCTTTCCAGAAAGCTTTTTTGGCTTTAGAATATCATGCATCTCAACTTTACCTTTAGTTTGTTCACGAAATCACTTTCGTTACTGGAATATCATGCTTTTTGAGTACTTACTTCTATCTTGCGTCCGAAATTATGTATTGTTTCCACTTTTCGTTGTTGCTGCCGTTTTCCACAATCTTATTGAAGATTTTTTTCTGCGCTGTACTCTATCCTTATGTGCAGCAATGATTCAGTTTTATTTTTCATCGAATTTTTCGCATAAAGAGCATGTCCTAAATCTATTTCTGACCTCTGATTGCTCAATGTTGTGTAAGTCGTAAACAGCGATAATTCATGAACAATCATATTCCTCTCCATAATCGTTCATGATTATCAAGTACAAAAATTTCTAAGCCGATGTGGTGCAATCTTTTATGTTCCTTGTCAAGAAAATTGCAACTGTTCTGCATGTTCTATAGACCTAATTTCAGTTTTCTCGTCTTGGAAAGGGTACTGATCAAAGATGGTGAGTTACTTTTTAGCTTTTTAGCGATCTCACAATTTTGAACCGTTCATTGCTTTCTTATTCTAGCCGCAAAATGATTATATGGACCTGCACAGGAAGAGGCACGGAAGACGCCTCGATTATGAGGAGCGGCAGTAAGTTTACGCTCACTTTTTTTCCTTTGTAAAGTTTTTCTGGCTTTGGTTAAGTTTTGAATTGCTTACGAGTATTCGAGTGCAATTTCTTACAGGAGAAAGAAGGAAGCGAGAGCTGGTCATGCTCGATCGCAAATGGCAAAGAAGCTGCGTGGCCAGAAGGCTAAGCTTTATCATAAGAAGAGATACTCTGAGAAGGTGAGTTGCCTATTATAATTGTTAGTTTATTCGTTACTGTTTCTTACCTGTATCTTGTTTTTGTTAATTTTGTTTCTTCTTGCATATCAGGTCGAAAGTTTAGGTGGAAATGCGCAAACTTTTGAAACAGCATGAAGAAAAGCAGCAGAAGAGTACTGTTGATACGCCCGACCAGGTATTTTCTCCATACATATTCGAAAAACTAAGCTAAGACATTGTATGGCCTAGGGAGCCGTTCCTGCTTATCTGCTTGACCGTCAACAACAAACGACGGGAACAGTTCTTTCCAACATGATCAAACAAAAAAGGAAGCAAAAGGCTGTAAGTCAATACATTTTATCCTGAACCCTCATATTTTTCTACAATTCCTTTTTTTACGAATCCTTATTCTTTCGGTTGTCAAATAACTGCAAAAATGACCATACGAATCCGTTTTTATCAGCTTGCTTTCTAGGGAAAATACCAAGTTCCCATTCCACAAGTGAAAGCTGTTAGTGACGCGGAAGCCTTTAAAGTCGTGAAATCAGGTAAAACAAATAGAAAAGGATGGAAGCGAATGGTTACTAAGGTAAAAATGTCTTGATAACGTGATGTCGAATGATGTTTATGGTGTTTCCAGGTCACCTTCGTTGGGGAATCATTTACACGCAAACCTGCTAAGTTTGAAAGATTTATACGACCTATGGGATTGCGGTTTACAAAGGTAGCATCGGCGTTTTCATTGTTTGAGTCTTTTACCTTCTGTTTTACAGGCTCACGTCACACACCCCGAATTGCAAACCACTTTCTGTCTTCCAATTGTTGGTGTGAAAAAGAACCCATCAAGTCAGATGTATACGTCGTTAGGTGTTATCACAAAGGGTACAATCATAGAAGTAAATGTTTCGGAATTGGGTATGGTCACGCAAGGGGGAAAGGTACGTATCATCATTACAGACTGTAGTTCTTACAGCGTTTTGATCATTTTTTGTAATCGTTGTGTTGATTTAAGCTTATTTTGCTTTTGTCCAGTCTGGTTTTTATGACTTCACAAGTGACATCCTGTTTGAAAATATGATTTTGGAAGCACAGCCTGTTTTCTGTGGAATTTGTTTCCATGTCAACTCAAAATCTACTCCTTTGTCGCTTCAGACGATTTTTTGTGCGTATGACATCATTTTGCATGGGATCAATATGGTTTTAGCAAGTTCTTTTCCAATTCAGCTATCATAATTTGGGTGCAACTTCAATATTTTATATGGGAATAGGCGCATAGATATTTCTAGCCAGAGATGGCATTTTTTGAAAAGAAATCAAGTTGTGAAACATCTTTGGTTCAATACATTTGCCGTTTTTCTCGTGATTCTCACTCTGTGTATTTCATTCAACCTTTTCTCCTTGAGTAACTTATCATTTTGCTATTTTTTCAGGTTGTCTGGGGTAAATTTGCGCAAGTCACCAACAACCCCGAAAACGACGGCTGCATTAACGCAGTGTTGTTGATTTGAGTTGATCTTGCTATCTTTCTGTTGTTGCTTTTGGTTAAAGACATGGTTGGTTGAACTGTACTTACTTCTGGTTTTTTATGGTTTCTTGTTATGAAAGACCAGGCTTATTGACAGATACATAAGTTTATCTTGTACATATATCTGAATAAAACGATGATGTTGGATTTGGCTGTCAGAGGGTCTCCCATTTGGATACCGTACTAATGAATTCATACGCAGAGTTTTCACGAAACGAGACAACCGTCCCTAGAGAACACTTGCCGCGGACCTATTGATGCAGCGTGATGTGTTTTGCGCTGCCGCTTTTCTATTATCCGTCATCAAGTCTTCAGAGAGTTCTTCATGAATCATTGTGCGGGATTATGGAATCCTTCACAACTTGCCATTGCGTTATACGGTAGTTTGAGGTGTTTGTTTCTGAGAGGATACGGTAACTATTCATAGAAACCCTTAAACATAGTTTATACACAGTTTACAAGCAAAAATGAATATGACTAGAGAAACAGTGCAGTTGCTAAGTCCTTGACGGTTCTGAAGTTGGTGGCGAATTGCTTAGTGAAACCTGGCAGCGTTTGTTCTTCATTCGACGGTTTTGAAACCAAATTTTTACCTAGAATTGGTTTTTCTACAGTACTTACTTTCTACCGTAATCTTCACAATACTACGATATCTGCGAAAAATGACTAACTGACCTGAGTTTCTGTGAGACACAACTCTTGCGCCAACTGATATCTTCTTGGTCGACTGAGATATTTGTTCTCGCCAAATTGGCGCTCTAACTCGATTAGTTGCTCGCTTGTGAAGGCGGTTCGAGGACGGCGCATTTTTCCCCAGGTTTGCCATGCTCCCACTAAAATTTCATCAATGAGGAGAAGTCGTAAGCATTGAGGAGGATGTGTCGCTAATAGGCTTGACCCTCGCGGACAACTGATACGAGCTTATATTGTGTGGAGGTGCGTAGTTTGTTGCAGATGTCCGGGACCCGCCCTCCCTTTCCCCTTCCCTTTCCGCGACGTAATCCTTTGAATGCCATGAAGAAAGAGAGTACTCACATGTTAGTGCTAGTTGATCGTACAGTAGAGGAACAGTCGGAGTAAGGATGGGATACTGTAGGCGTTCTGTATGCGTGGATAGGCCAAATAACGATGTGGATGCTGTAAGAAGACAAGAGTAATCACAGTTACTTTACTGCCTGTATCTTAACCAAACCTGTCGCAATGGTTGGGGTTTGGGTTACAATCCCAAAGTTTGTTGCGGTAGTGAAAATGGTCGAATTACATGAGCTCTTCAGGGCTGGAGGTGTGGGAGAGAATGCATCAACTTCACGAGATCCTTGAGCGGTTGTGTCTGCTGCAAGTTATAGTTAAGTAGAATGAATTTTACGGAAATTTGATACGGTTAGGTCCATTATTCCTCTAAATGATCCATTCATTTGTCCACATCGTGAGCTAATCGAGCTTTCATCTCAGTAAAAGAAAGGTTTTGTTTCCTTGTTTAGTAAGTAGTAGCCAATAAGAATTTCTTTTTTTTTTTGAAACAAGTCTCAGGAGTACTTCATCTTCGTTCGTTTCAAAACGCCACAAATCACGCGAAAAAAAGCTCTCAATCCGAACTGCCAGATGATTTCTTGCATCAATCAGAATTGTTAAAAAGAGGAAAAGGCTATAATTGCAATGAGGGTATTCAGCACAAAGCTCAAAATTGTCCCATGTAAATGAACGCAATTACACATGGAAGAAAAGTTTTCAAAAATTCAGGAAAAGCTATCAAGTTATCTTCAAAATTTTCGCTTTTGTCATGCTCCTCTATATAGAGGTTGATTGATGAGAAAATGATAATCTATAAAGAGGTTTTCCTACATTCTGAAACTCTATTCCTCAGTTTAATTCATAGAATCCCAAAAAATAAATCAATTTTGGTATGTACTTTTTTCGCGACGTATTGGGTGTTTCTTACATGAAAGACAAGAAGAAGACTTTTGTAAAGCAGATAAGTAATGGTCTTTCTAAGAAGTTCGTCAGACCCATTTGAAGTAAGACAACCACAGAAATTGTCCGTCTCTGAGACTCGACTGAGGAAAATCTTCTTGATTTAGATCATTGAGTGTAATTTGAAATCAACGCGTGGATTCGCTTTCGGAGCCATAAGGTGTATTTTTGATTTTAAGATCTCAAAAATACGTTGGACTATTTTCCTGGGACTAGTAACTATTTGGAAAAGCGTAAATGAGTACTGTTTGCAAAGTTTTGGGCAATCCTTTCATCACAATTGTTCAAAACAGGAGCCCCTCATTGCTTGTTGTTGTTTAACTTTAACAGTAGAAAATGAAAATTTGAAAACTGTTCTTAGGCTCCATGTTTGTGATTAGTTTTGGAATATTTTGAATATTTTTAAAGAGTTAGCTGCTTTATCATTACTGTACCCATTTTTTGCATACAGATAGTGCAGAAACTTGGGTTGTATTTGCTGCTAAGAGCAGAAAAAACTCTCCGAACCTACTTTTGAGTAGTCTTTATTCAACTAGTTCCTGTATTAGAGTAAAACTGAAAAGGATCCTATTTAGAGCCCAATGTGGTATTCTCGCTGTTTCCATCGCTTTCATAATTCTCCTGATTGATTGATTACGTAGGCAAGTACGAGACTTACTTATGTCAAGAAATTTTTGAGCAAAGCTCTCCTGTAGAATTTTTATTTGAAAGGATAAATATTGACCTTACCTTCATCGCTACAGCGAGGTACTGAAGCATTTGTCGTTTCTGCATTTCTGCATAGAAGTGCATCAATGGAAGCAAACATTTTAATGAAATTGCTCCCAGATTCCGAAAATAAAGTAGAGTGGTAAGAGTCGTATGGGTTTTCCAAGACCCTAAGAAATTTGTGGAATGGCGAATGAAAGGAGATGAAGAGCTCGTAGCATACGGTCCCTGGGGATGTCGCCGGAGGCGTGGTGATGATCGTCAATGGCTGATAGACTACGGTAGAAGCGAAGCATCATGAGGTTTTTTTTATTGCACAAGGAAAATCCGACTTCTATCACATTGTTTTATGAAAAAATCATGTTTGTGGGAAAGCCACTACTTTTCACATGCATGTGCCTTTTGTTCACTGTTTGATGCAGAAACTTCTTGATCGACCTAAACCTAGTAAGATTGATAGGGAATGTGTGAAGATGAACGAATCGGATAGCCAAAGAGTGTAAAAATTTCAAAAACTACGCAAATCAGAACTTGGCTTTACCTGTGGCTGTCCAGGCACTCTGATGATGCCATGAAGTAAGGAATCTAAGCAAAAAATTGGTTATGTTCAAGAAAATTGTATAGGACCTGTGTTATACACAAAATCGCAGAACGATATTGGAAAAATCTTGAAATCTTTCATCGCAACGGCTAGATTTGGACATAAGTTATCATTATTGGGGAATGTGGTGCATTTCACTTTCCTACAAATCTTTTCGTTTTTCTTCATTTTCAGAAATTTCTCAATCAAGAGGAATTGAATTTTTAGAGTCCCTGTAGGTGGTAATAATAAGCCACGTGAATGTCCATGAAATTTTCAAACCTAAGACCTTAAATTCTAAATTGTTTTGACTCAAATATCCATCAGGCTTTTGTACTTTGAAAACAGGTTTCTGAGATTTAATGTTAGCTGCTTTGTGACTAAAGTGGCCTGTATACATATAATTACGAAGTCGTAAAAAATTAATTATGGAAGTCCAACAAACATATTTAGAGTGTGGGAATTGCTTGAAATGCTTGTATTGAAATCTATAGAAAAAATGAACCAAATTAAAGCGGTTTCTGAACGGGGTTATAATCATTTCGGGAAATAGTCGAAGAAGATCAACTCTGAAACACAGGTAGTAAAAAAAAAGAAAGAAATCAGATTGAAGGCAACCTAACTTGTTGATTTGCTATTACCCTGGATTTGCGTTGCTTGGGTGAAGAAACTCGAAGTGACCTTCGGTTTCTCTACTGGCTCAATTTCTCAAATTTACCAGAGTAGGTTTGAATTCCTTTGGTGGGCTAAGTCCTATTTCAATTTTGCTCATACGAAGCGAGTCCTATATTCTTCTCCTTTTTGTACCATTTTTCTTCATTGAGCAAGGATGTCCTTCCTGCTTTCACTTATCAAGACTTGAGGCAGCTAAATACTGACAGCGCTGCGATGACAAGCTCATATGCAAATTCGCATTCGCCTTTCATCGCCGCGATTTCGACGGCTGAAAGTGAAAGATCGCATATCCCTGGGGACAGAAATCTATTAGGACATTTCAACGAGAAAAGCAGCCGACAAAGTGTTCGCGCGATCAAGGCGAAATTGCGGAAATTCGCGCATTTTGAGAGGAAATTTACTGATCACTGCGGATAATTGAACTCTTCAACTCGATTTCCTTTACGGGAGCAACCATTCATGTAAATAGTTCAAGTATTTATTATTTACAACAATTTTGATCTATTTGAAAATTTAAATGCTTTTCTCGATTGCAGCATTCTGATTCATCATCCTCATGAATGCATGTCATGATTGGAGACTGCTGTGAAAGTCGAATTTTTCGCTGCGAGATTCGAAGAAGTTTCTTCTGACTTTGACAAGGTTCCTGTAAATAGAAATTCGGGTAAATGGTTAGGTAAACACTGCATGAAACTGATTTGAAGGGTTCAGTTATATCACTGCCCAAGCGACAGCTCATATGATTCAATTGCGGCAGAGAAATCAGAGTATAAACTCTCGCCCAGTATCATAATCTTGTCGGCCTTAGCATCTTCGGGTACGGTACCGGGCGAGAGTTTAGTGTTAAATTTTTCAGCTACCACTACATAAAATGAGCTGTCGTTTGGACAACTGCTTGAATGAGGCCTCCTAAGCTGTACCCAAAGGAAAAACCTACTGAGCTTGATTTACTCGGACCTGCATAGAATGAAAAATTCACCTTTACCTTGGAAGCTGCATTTGTGTTAACGAACAAGTGGATGTGCTTCAACTCAGGACAAATTTTCGACGTATCATTTCCGTTCTTGTCTATATTCCCAGCGCAAAGCTGCTTCGATCGTGAAACTCGTAGTACCTTCCATTGGGGATGTGTCATGCATTCGTAGCATCCGTTAGACGAGTTTTGAGAGACTTTATCAGAACGAGATGGTTCATTGGAACAGTGGTATGAATCCAGCGATGGAAGAGCAACCAATGGATAAATCTTTGGTGTTTTTTGTCGTCGTATCCGAGGAAGATAGCAAGTATCGTCCGGTTGGATCATCAACGGGACATAGTGAGTTGCTAAAAGAGAAAAAGTTTTGAATATTTTATGTCGAGAGCCCCTTCAATGTCGATCCACGTACTAAATAGACCTGTTTTGCTTCAGTGATTGTTTGCATAAGAGATCGAAGCATTGAGTTAAAGAATCGTCTCATGTTTTGTATGCGAAAACCTTATTTTAGAAAAAAAATCCGCAAAATCGTGTATTGTTCTTCTGCCAACCAGGTTTGTGGTGGATCTTTATTGACCTTACGTTTCGACTAATATCGTCTTCTTCGGAGGTCTGAAAAGGAATTGCGGTGATATTATCTGTTACTCTATACGACCAAACGCCTCATCAGACTTCCGTCGTTTGAACCTCGTCTAGGCGCAACGTGCCGAGAAACAATCCAAAATGGATTCACCAACCTCTAATCCACCTTGGAGTCAGTAGTCCGCACGGATGGACGGACATCACTGAGACATCACTTTCAAAACAATGACGCTTTACAAGCTCTGTCGGAGATGCTGGATGAATATCATTCCACCATGGTAACCGCTTGAGCAAAGCGTGCATACTGCTACTCATAAGAGAATGCTTGAATTGTAACGTATCTAAGTGGTCGGGGAATTACTATTCTCAGACCAGAGGACTTGCGATGGGCCAGAGGCTCGCTCCAGTTCTCGCGATTTGTTACATGAGTAAGATTAGCGCGCTTGCCATTAATGTACTGCCGATACATCGATGACTGCTGCATTGTGACGTCAACACAATCCGAAATGGATGAGTGTTTTAGAATTCTAAATCAGCAGTCGCAGTACATTAAGCTTACACGCGAGACTCCGCACAGTGGATGGCTTTCCTTTCTGAACAGCCAGATAAATTTGTCTGACGGTACTGTTCGAATTAAATGGTACCGAAAGGAAAGCTCCAAGAACATACTCGTCCACGCTACATCAGCACATCCTGCAGCTCTAAAACGTTCCGTTATTCGCAATATGTACAAAACCGCTACAGAAATGTGTACGGGTGAAGACGAAAAGTATGAATCGCGACAGTTGGCATCCAAAATTGCCCGCAGTAATGGCTACACAATTGCGCGATCTCGACAGCGAACATCTACACGATCCGAAAACTGTAACCTTACGCGAAGCAATAACAGTGACCAAGATCTCTCTCTGTATGCCATTTGTCTCCGATAGTTTCAGCAAAGAGGTTAGCAGATGCATAGTACGAGCACTGTTGGAAAATGAGGTGATACTGGTCAACATTCCTAGCAGTAACATCAGAAAGCGGTTGATCAGAAACAGAATGTACGACGTAGAATGTTTGTCAGAAAACTGCATCGTTTGCCCTTATGGAAAACTAGGTGACTGCGCGAAGGAGGGTATTGTTTATCAGCTGGAATGCTTGAAGTGTGGCTCAACGTATATAGGAGAGAATGGAAGAATTCTGAGTGTTAGAATGAAAGAACACCTGGCTAACAAAAGACGAGGAAACCTGTCATCACCGTTGGGCAAACATAAGATTGAGGCACACGATGGTGACGATTTTAGCGTTAAGTGTACAATTTTAGCGCAGGAGGTCGAGATTTCAGCACGAAAAATGCTAGAAGCCGCGTTGATTTACGCCGGAAATCCGGGCATGAACAACAAAAATGAGCGCGTGACGATAACGACTGATCTCTTGCCTCTTATGTCATTATATGACCTTAAACCGCACAGTATATATAGTCCTTGACTCACTGAGCAACTTCAGTGATGTCCGTCACATCCGTGCGGACTACTAACTCCAAGGTGGATCAGAGGTTGGTGAATCCATTTTGGATTGTTTCTCGGCACGTTGCGCCTAGACGAGGTTCAAACGACGGAAATCTGATGAGGCGTTTGGTCGTATAGACTAACAGATAATATCACCTCAATTCCTTTTCAGACCTCCGAAGAAGACGATATTAGTCGAAACGTAAGGTCAATAAAGATCCACCACAACCTGGTCGGCAGAAGAACAATACACGATATCCGATACAACATGCCCAGGTTTAAAGAAGAGAGTACGTGGAAAATACTCCGCAAAATGTTTTTCAGTTGGGCCTATCATTTCCCGACCCTTCTAGTCACTACAATCACCATATATGGCATATTCAACGACCATTTCCACACTATGGTCAGTCAGCTATTTATTTCAACGATATCAGTGGTGGTGGGGAGGGGGAGAGGAACAGTATATTTTTGTTTATAGGGAATATGGCATTGAGCACAAACTACAGAAAAATATTTTTATGGTCCACTTTGCAAATTTTGAATTTAACCCCAAGTTGCCATGAAAGGGGGTAGCAGCAGCCGTGGCCGCAAATCTTTTTCACGAACTAATTTGAATTTTTCAAAATTGGCTCCAGTTAAATTCAAATAGACCAGTTCATCGGCACAGTTTTGTACTACCTCTCCTTCCCTATGTATTGTGCAATTGCAGACACCAGCCATATTTTGCACCAAGTCTCGCAGTTGATGTACTATTTTCACACATTTCCTGAGAATTGTAATTTAGGGTTGTCTTTGTTGCAAAAAACAAGAACTAAAAAGGACGTTAAAAACACTTCCAAAAATCCATAAATACTGAATTTTACGTGCAATATGAACGTTGTCCGCACTCGCACATATTAGGCTACGAGCGGCTCCAGAGCAAGAATTTGAACGATATTTCCTGACAAAATTTAAGTAAAAACCAAATTTCAAGCTCTGAGAATTTCCAATTTTGCTTTGATTTGAAAATATACAATAAATGAATGCAGTAACTTACCACTGTAGCTATCGCTCATGTGGAGTTATTGAAGGGAAGGGGAGAAATAACGGAAGACTAAAGCGCCGTCGTGGCGCACCTTGGGCAAACAGCGTTTTGCGTTGACTCATGCTCTTTGCACATCAAAAAACGATCTCGTCCATTTGCTGCAAAGCTCAGGTGCGGGCAAGCCTACTCAGTGCCATTTTTGGCGAGATTGTTGGGGTACTACGATCTTGGGGTCATCGTCGTCAAAATATTTTGTATCGATAAAACTTCATTCAATATCGTAGTGATCATGTGACAACATCAAAGGACAAGTAACAATGAAACAAAATCGAAAAATATGATGAAGGCACAAATATGGCGTTCGTTTTAACAATTCTTAAAGCTACACGCTCCATAGGCAACGCGTTACGGTATGATGTGGCGCGCAGCTGCGAGAGCGTAACTATAAACGTTAAACGTTTGATTGCGTATTATATCATGCGAAGACAAAATACAGTCGAGGAAGTTGAAAAGTAGTAGTACATACCAAATGTAGAGCCAGTATAGAAGATATGTGGTACCTTTGTTCTATGGCATAAACAATCATCTCAATGAAAGTTCCCAATAAGGCAGGAATAATTTGGAAGGAAAGTTTTAACAACACCGAGACTTCCAGAATTAGATACGTTTTGGGCATGTAAAGGAAAAAAGGACGGCAACTGGCAAATCGACCAATCGCTGCCTTTTGGTAATTTTCAATCATATATTCACGAACAATGGAACATAGTGATACTGAGAAAAGAGTTGGTCACAGGTTAACGAAAAAAAAGAAAGAAAAGAAATTCTTGGAGTTCTTGGAAAGATTTGAGCTTTTGATGCAGTTGATTTTTTGTGTAAACAAACGACCGCTTTGAAGAAGCCGCGCCTGCCACGACGCCCATAAGTCGCAAGCTGCTACAGTATGATTCTGGTTTTCAGCCCCCTTTTCATATCATTAGAGCGACACATGCAACAACTCCAATTAAAAGATATCTAAGCAGCATATGGCACAAATACCACAAATACCATATATAGGCGCACATATTGCTTATTGATTAATTTTGGAGGCTCAATAGCCGCGGCTCGCCCGCGCATGCTTCTCATAGAGAAGTCGATAATGATTGCTTTAACAATTTTGCCATCATTTTTCCACTTTCTTTGATACCTCGCGCTTTGGAATTTCGTAAGGAAAAGCGCCAATATTTCTAACGAGTTGTAAAAGTTGACCACAGCCTTGTTCGACCCTCGAAGTGTGAAGGCGTAGAAAATTCAAAGAACGAGCCCTATAAGAGGAATAATCAAATGCGATTCGGTGGTGCCAACATCTCCGGAATTTGCGTGAGATCTTCTCGTGACATCAATGGCACCAGCACGGACGTCTTCCTTCGAAGTGAATGCTCTATCGATTGACCACCTGCCGATGGCGCACGTTCGTCTTTGTATTCATCTTTGCTCGCTGAAAATGTAAATATTACCAGCTGAGGTGAGTAGGACATATGCAAACTCTTATCGAACAGTAAAAGCTGCAAGCTGGTAGAATTAATTTTGCGCTAATAGCTCGACTTGTGAATATTTTGCATTGCCGTATTGATGCAAAAGTTCTTTGTTACCAAAAATGGTCCAAACACAAATACGGGGTATCAGTGGCGGGAAAGCGAAAGAGAGAAAAGAGTTGCACGTATCAGTATAGCTGGTTCGACAACGCAGGCACAGCAGAAGCTGCGGCCATCAAAGCGGTGCGGCTATTCAAAATAGTTAGCTCAAGCAAGAGAAGAGCAGCAAGCATGGGAACGTTGGTAGTAATTTATTCCATTTTGCTGATTCTGAATGTCGTATTCTTACATTTATATTTATATTGTTACGTTGGATCTACCACTCGCAAAACTGATTTCCAAGACTGCGCGACTCAAACGGAAGGACGGATTTAAGTTTGCAAAATAACGATAGCAATTAGCGACGGAACGTCAACGACACCGACAACGACGAGAGTCTTTCTTTCTGGGACTTTCGAATATCGTCGTGATCTTGATCATCATTGAGGAAGGAAGAACCAAAGTTTAACACTATCGATGGAATCGGACACTTCTAGAAGATTCTTTTAGCACAAGACTCACTGTCAGTGCTATGCAGGACATATAAGAGAATTAAAAAGTAAAGCAGAAGGAAATTGTTGTAGCAAATTTCGTCACTTAAAACTTGCGAACGAGCAAAAATTCCCGGGGAACTGTGGAGAGGAGAGCAGAGGAAGGATAGAGGATAAATTAGGAACAAAGAAATATTGAATTATCTGTAGAGAAAGGCTGATTCAATAGTATCTTGCTCACCTAAGCACAAATCGACAGCGAAGAAGAGCGATGTCGGCCGTTGCAGAATTTGAGGTCTTTGAAGCTAGACTAAGTCCAAGAAGACCTGAGGAATCAAACTGACGAAGCGATCTGCTTGACGAAGACTCAAGGATAGACTCAACGTTGGAGAATAAAGGTCCAAGCGCAAATCCGAGGGCGTGGACATCATTACATGATGCTTACTACAAAACCTCGATTAAGCGGTTGTGTTATTGGCATCTTGCATGTTTCATTCGTGGTAGGAAAATTTAGATTTACCCAGCACCGTACTGCGGGACGATGATTGGCGCGTTAGGGAAGAGTACGGTAGGCGGGACTTCAGAGGTGAACCTCTTAGGCCCGTATGCACGTACATCCCCGCGGGGAGGGGAGGGGATCTGAGAGGAGAAGCGTCATATTTCGCTCCTCTGTATGTCTTTCGTCTTTCTTCTTTATCTGTGATATGAAGATTCTCATACCCTAATACCTGCGCATAATGGATGCCAGGTTATTGCCATACAAGATTAGATTTTCACTATTTCGTCTGATCCCCTGGGGATCCCCAGGGGATCAGCTCACATTTTCAAAGTCATTTATCTTCCTGAAAACCCAATGAAAATGCTCTAAAATTGTACTGAGGATATACCACATTACTGCTGAGCATGCTTTTGACAGAAGAAATGGAATCTGAAGATTATCAATTTTTCGATAATCCCTGGCTCGCGAGCAGCAGTCCATCGAAAATCTCGATATCCTGAGATATCCCTTATTTCTACTATAGACATGTTTAGCAGTACCATATTATACCCTCAGCGTAATTTTAGAGCATTTTCATTGGGTTTTCAGGAAGATAAATGACTTTGAAAATGAGAGGCGATCCCCTGGGGATCACACAAAGTTGTGAAAATCTAATCTTGTATGGCAATAACCTGGCATCCATTATGCGCAGGTATTAGGGTATGAGAACCTTCATATCACAGATAAAGAAGGAAGACGAAAGATATACAGAGTAGCGAAATATGACGCTTCCCCTCTCAGATCCCCTCCCCTCCCCGCGGGGATGTACGTGCATACGGGCCTTAGACAGCTCACGTAGCGGCTTATTCAAGTAAGATACAAACGTATTTACATAGTCTTGGGTGTTGCTTCCAGGATAAAGGTAGAACGCATCACTGCACTATCACTGTTTAATTATACCAGACACACAACACAACAGCGCTAATCTATGTTACCACTAAAATCTTTCTTTTTCGTTATCAACACTACTGCTACACTTAAACGATTCTCGTTAGTGCGCTTTTCAAAATTTTCTAATTTCAAAAATTATAAGAAATTCTAGCATTGCTGAAGCGGTCAACATGTAAGTGCAAACATTATTTACGCATGCATAAACTTACGATTATCGTTCAATAGCGCGCTGATCACTTTGTGCCCTAAATTTCTCAACCTCACCTAGGGGGTAGGGTAAACAACAAGAAATTACCTTGTTCAGCTAAGAATTGATCCCACATAGTGTCTACAACTTCTGTGCACATCAGCACTCCAGAATGGATGGTAATCATTCGTAGCACAAATACTCCGTCCATTTTTACGTAGTCTCTCACAAACTGGAGCAATAAAATTTGGTGATTCGATGAAGGTCAATAGAACTTCTACCTCGTCGAGTTCTAGTGCAAAGTCTCGCTGCTTGAAAGTAACATCGGCCAATTCCAACCGTCGTGCAATGAACCTGAACCCAGTCAGCATTAATTATGTAGACCATTTAAATTTTCTCTCTAGCTTATTTATGCCTGCTTGACGTTGATTCCGATACTCTAGCACTATGCCATATTTTTTGCTGCAATTCACTATAAAGCGCTTATCGTTTGCGCAAGATTGGGCGTGATTGCGGACTCTTTGCGTCTCCTACAACTAAGGCACTTTCTCGCTCTGTCTGCAACCGTGCGCGGCGCATGCGCAAATGAATCACGCACAAATCAATAATTATACTTACGCCAATGCATTTAGTGTGAAAATTGAACCAAAAACAAAATATGCTGACTTTCTCCGTTGTTCAAATGGGAGTGATGAGACTATCCATGACATGATGCTGCCAAAAGAAACTATCGCCAGCAGTGTGTACCAGATCCACAATAGCAGAAAGATCTGAATTTGCTAATTTTAAATAAGAGACCTTCAAACCAAAGATACTTACCTTCTCGGTAAAAATATTGATCACAAGCACACATTGTACCGTATGCCTCTGAACATTTCCCAAAATCCGAATTTCCATGTCGCAATAGGTAACAACGGGGAAATTCGGTGACTCGGTCCAACCTGAAAGTTCAGTTGGGTAAATAAGCTAACCAGGGTCTCAATAAGGTTATTGCCTACCTTGGCCAGTAACCAGATCCCACAGTATCCCGTAGCCATAAAACCCTTGTGAGTTCGTTTGCAAAAAACGACTGAGAAGGATCATCTGCAAGAAATAATTTGTTTGCTCAAATTCGAGGTAGAGTTAAATTTGAGCTAAATTTACCTGCACAAGAACGTTGATGAGAAAGAGCAGCTTGATGCCAATATAAAGCAAGGTAAGATAAGCTTCATAAAACCGTAGGTTTAAAAATTTGAACACTCTAAAATTTCTGATTTTTGGAGGAGGACAAGTACTAGAGTTATGTTTGAATATACGAACTTGTGATGGTATGGATGGCTAGATCCGAATCGAAATCTATGCCTGAACACTGACGACAAGTGCATGGCCAAACCATTGATATTTGCACGACGAGAAGCTGCAAATAACCACAACTGTTTGGTTATTTGAGGACTTCTCTTGAAAATCCTGTACCAGGCTGGACGTTGGACCGATCATTAGCGAAGTTCATGATGTCGTTTAATCGAATGCCTAAAACAAACACTAACGATTAGGATAGAGCATTACAGAAAACATGAGCTTTTCAGAAATCGTTACAGTAAAAAATCACTATAATTAAGCAAAGCTACAGCATAGCATACCGACTCAAAATAGTGCATTTGCTGTGTCGACAACCCTTGCGCGAGAAAAAACCAGTGAGCGAATGTTCGAGAAAATTCGCGCTTCCTGGCAATTACGGGTAAATGAAAAGTGCGTAAACTCATCCTTAGCGTGGTCCCCGGTGTTTTCCCTGATCAATGATTAATAAAAGGATTATAGTTGCTTGCAGCAGGCCTACAGCCCTTTTTTGACCAATTGTCCGAAATAAATGGCATCAATCAGGATTAGTTTATCCATGAGATGTGAAAGTGCAAAAAAAATTCTGTTTTCCAATGCTATGGAAGTATAGTACAATCCACTCAACCAAAGCAGTCTATCTGCCCATTCATCTTGCGTCTCTATACTTGTTTACGAGCTCCTATTTATTTTTCCAGTGACTGTGCCACCATTGCTACTCGACAACATAAGCTCTACTATCCTGAGATTACATACCAGATTTATCGTAGAGTATTCTCCATAGAAGACACGGAGCGTAGAACATGAAAGCCACGACGACCAAAAAGAATGGAACCCATTGGTAGTAGGAGACCTGAAGCAAGCAAATACTATATGTACCTGTATTATGGATTATCAT